TATATAGGAAAAGGTTATTTGAAATATCGATTTCCACAACACTTTCAAAAACATGGAAATCGGAGACTAGTTAACGTTTCTGCAGTTCCACCTACCAAATCATATTCTCTTCAACGCTATTCAGTTTTTATGCGAAAGATTTTTCCATAAAGTAAGTGATTCTGTAATAGTTTGAAATGATGAAGTTAGATGCTTCATCCTATTTAGCGTAGATTATCATACGTTCAAAGGAATAGCTTTCTGTTTGTTCATTAATATGGCATTACTTAGTTTTTATCTAATTGGGAAATGTAAACATTTTCTAATGTAACTTCAATGTAAGAGCTAATGAAATTTTAAGGTCATTTTCCAAAAGAACGGTTTATTTGCAACCCATGGTTCCTTGCAGATATTACGTGATCCATTAGATATCCATTACACGATGCAATACAAAAAATTTACCTTTGAAATTCTATTGTACGGTATCTTTCTTTAATAAATCTGCACCGATCTGAAGGTGTGAGATCATCTATCAAAGTCATGAGATATATATAATTCATGAATACCCCGAACAACCAATAACCTACAAGCAAACTGCGCAACATTTAATAATTTTTCTTTAATGCAATATAATTGTAACACCTTCTAACTCTTCTCATTTCCTATACTCTGTTGCTTTCGATGGCATATGCTTCGTTTATCAGTTTATAACCTGAATCGAAGACAATTAAAATTAAGAATTATGTATACCTAATGAATTACACAAAAACATGTTACGAAAATCAACGTAATCACATCGACTTGTTTAGTTTTCAATAAATTGACAAGAAACTACCGGCACAATTATAGAGTATTTCTGCCTAGAGTTCATCTCTGACAGCGTATGCGTCGGTCTGGTTACCAGTTGCCGGTCATTTATCTACTGTGTATTAACAATTATTCAATTATTTAATATTTGAACCCAATACATTGATGATATTCACTTATAATTGAGTTATAAGTTAGCAGTTATAACAGACTCTTGCAGCCTCGCATGTGTACATTCTGCACGAAGCCTTTAAACTCGCCCGACCATCGTTTTCAAAGAGAAGATAAGTGACCGGCAATCGGCAACCAAACTAACGCATACGCTGTCACGGTTGCACACCTGCAGATAGTAGAATTCACTGTAGTGATATCGATTGTTTTTCGTGCATATCCTGGAAGCTGAGCGAATTCACTTCTTATATAGGAAAAGGTTATTTGAAATATCGATTTCCACAACACTTTCAAAAACATGGAAATCGGAGACTAGTTAACGTTTCTGCAGTTCCACCTACCAAATCATATTCTCTTCAACGCTATTCAGTTTTTATGCGAAAGATTTTTCCATAAAGTAAGTGATTCTGTAATAGTTTGAAATGATGAAGTTAGATGCTTCATCCTATTTAGCGTAGATTATCATACGTTCAAAGGAATAGCTTTCTGTTTGTTCATTAATATGGCATTACTTAGTTTTTATCTAATTGGGAAATGTAAACATTTTCTAATGTAACTTCAATGTAAGAGCTAATGAAATTTTAAGGTCATTTTCCAAAAGAACGGTTTATTTGCAACCCATGGTTCCTTGCAGATATTACGTGATCCATTAGATATCCATTACACGATGCAATACAAAAAATTTACCTTTGAAATTCTATTGTACGGTATCTTTCTTTAATAAATCTGCACCGATCTGAAGGTGTGAGATCATCTATCAAAGTCATGAGATATATATAATTCATGAATACCCCGAACAACCAATAACCTACAAGCAAACTGCGCAACATTTAATAATTTTTCTTTAATGCAATATAATTGTAACACCTTCTAACTCTTCTCATTTCCTATACTCTGTTGCTTTCGATGGCATATGCTTCGTTTATCAGTTTATAACCTGAATCGAAGACAATTAAAATTAAGAATTATGTATACCTAATGAATTACACAAAAACATGTTACGAAAATCAACGTAATCACATCGAATATGTATTTACAATAACGACACCGATAAAAATTCAGGACGTCGAAAAACTGGGAATGCAATTGGGTTTCACTTTTGCAGGAAGAAATTTCCATAATGTGTCACTGGGTCAAGGCCAAGAAGCCATAGAACTTTCCGCGAACGAAGGCCATTGGGTAATTTTGCAAAATGTCCATTTGGTGAGGAAATGGTTGCCTACATTAGAAAAAAAGATGGAACAGTGCTCGGAGAATCCACATGATGATTATCGATTGTTCATTAGTGCGGAACCCAGTCTTGATCCTCATGAATCGATAATACCTCAGGTAATAAACAATTGTATAATTTGAAAAAGCAAAAGAAAATATGCACTTTTAATTAAGTTAACACGTGCTAATTATATTCTTTAACCGTCCGTCGGTAATATGGTCTTTCTATAACGCAGTCGGCATTACAGGTCCTTCAGTAACTGGTCTAATTTCTTACTATTTTTTTGCCTTAATAAAATCTAAGAAAATTCTGAGGTACCTATTATAGACCCAAATTCATTATATAAGTGATACTTTAGCCAATAAATAAGTAGATAATGTCGAAAGGAAACGCTGATTACTAAATTTAAGGTTCGTTAAATTGTACACAGGGTATACTAGAATCAGCCATAAAGATCACGAACGAACCACCATCTGGAATTCAAGCGAACATCCACAAAGCGTTGGATAACTTTACTCAGGAAACTTTGGAGTCCTGCAGCAAGGAAACCGAATTCAAAGCAATATTATTTGCACTTTGTTATTATCACGCTGTACTTGCAGAACGTAGAAAATTTGGGGCGCAAGGATGGAATAGGGTAAGTAACTTTAAATCTTAATGGATCATAACGTTAAATTAGAAATTATGGATCGAAGATTTGTAAATGTTGAAACAATGAGAGAAGGCAAAAACAATGTTTACGATATCTTGTGTAATGTAATAACTTAAAATTAATACTCTTTCACAGATTTTTTATTAATTATAAGACATATTTGGAATAGATCTCACAACTGTGGCATAGTTTAAAACGTACTATAAGTGTCTTCCTTGTAGTCTGCAATTAAATTAGGAAAAGCTACTAATTTTTTACTAGTGATGATATTAGCAAAGTTTGTAAATTATATTCTTCAATAATTGTTGCTTTAGTAAATATATGCTCTAATAATAAATTATTAAATAATTTAGAACGTAACTATACACAAATAGCAATTAAACAAATTTCTCTGTTACTATGTTGTTAATCGTTGTTAAGAAATCACATTTACATATACAGGGTGGTTGGTAACTGGTGGTACAAGCGGAAAGGAGGTGATTCTACGCGAAGAAAGAAGTCGAAAATATAGAATAAAAATTTTTCGTTTGAGGCTTTGTTTTCGAGAAAATCGACTTTGAATTTTCGCTCGGTACGCGTGCACTTTATCATGGTCTCGTTATAACGGATCTCACTGTAGATTTTTAAAAAAATTTATAGAATAAAAATTTTATTTTTAATTTTTTTTTTATTTTCGACTTCTTTTTTTCGCGTAGAATCACCCCCTTTCCGCTTGTACTACCAATTACCAACCACCCTCTATATATATGTCGGGGTCACATTACGATTAGGGTTAGCGGCGTGAAACGAATCTTCATTTGGATTCGATTCAACATTATTGTTATGCAATAGAGCAGGTATCTACTAGTGCAAATGTGATTGTTACAGAATTTGACAAGCAACCATGGTAATTAGATACTCGAGAAGCTAATGACAATGATCCGAGGTTCAATAACTAGGTACAACTTGCTTGTCTACGGTACAAGTATTACTGAACTAACTCTTTTTTAAAACATAGAATATCCACCGAGCGTAAAGACGCTATGTAACTCTCTAATGCGACCTCACGAGAGAATCACTTTCTATCGCGATGATGCTGCAGAGGAAAACTGTGATGCGATGACGTTGTTGTTAATTGGTCCATTTCCATGTTGGTAGTTAGAGACGGATGCGAGCCGTCGTTGAGGTAAAGTTGCTAGCGGTCAACGTCGTTCGTGAGAAAAATAGATTTTCCCTATCTTCCGTTTGTCTGTTTGAAGGACTTTAGTTAACTAGATCTGTAGTAACCGATTGATTCTTAGAG